AAACAGGCCTCGACAGAACAAGCCGGCGTCGAACGCTTCCTCTGAGCCTAGGAGCTCTGCTCCAAAGGTTGACCGACAAACTCGACCAAGTCTGTGGCTGCGGGCATCAAGCACACCAAACTTTCCTTCACGACCTTCCATGAGGTCTTTGTCACCAACCAACACGAGGTAGGCCGACTGGCTAAAGACCTTGGTGAAGATGGTTCCATCTGAACCGCCGGAACGTGTCACGTTCCCCAGCGAGGCATCTGTGACGACCAAGATGCCGGCTCCATCCAAGCTCATGGGGCCAAAACGAAGTTTGAACCCTGGGTCTTGCTTCATCAACTTCACCAGAGCATTTGCTTTCAACAAGGTCTTCACCAGCGGAGGCTCACCTTGAAGCACGCTCAGTTGATACCCCATATCCCAACGCACTTGTGCCACAAGCCACTGAAGGCTTCCAAGAATTGCTCTCAGTTGACGGTGCTCTGCGGGAGTGAGCTGGGCATCCAACTGTTTCTTCCGTGGGACAGGGATTGAAACCGGCTGCATGTTTTCATGGTATGCACGCATACTCACTTCAATGCTCTTGTCTGGATGTTGCTGAACCAATTTGCCACAATAGGTGAACTGGCCAGTTTCCAACGAGCCGAATCCAAGTTCCTTGCCCAAAGCTTCGAGCGTTGTGTGAGCCCGATTTGAACCTGCCATCAACAAATCGTCGACGTGGCTCACTACAATGCCCTCCAAGGCGCCATTGGTGTCCTTGAGAAACCATTGCGCAGCATCCATGCTGCGGCGCTCCCATCCAAGCCTGGAAAGCGACTTGTGGAGCCTGAGGTACCACCTTCGTGGTGAATCAGCCAATCCGAACACACCCTTCCGGACCTTTGCTAGTCCGTGGGAGCTGAAGGGCAACATGGGCTCATCTGGGGAGGTACAGCGAATGTTGCTGATATAAAGCTCACGTTCTCCTTCTTGAAAAAGCTCTCCTTTCAAAAAGGCTGACTTCACATCGGCTGACCACAATGTCCAACCTTTGGCTGCAGCAGTAATGAAAAGGATGTGTTGCGAACATCTGGAACTGGTGGGCGCATCCTTTCTCACGGCATAGGCAGTCTCATCTTGATAGCCCGGAATGACCACCCGAGCATTGGCTTGAAGCGGGAGTGCATGGATTGCTTCCCGATCTCAGTCCATCATTCTTGTCTGTGAAGACATACCTTGGTGTCAAGATTTTGTTCAACTGTCCAGATGCTTTCAACCTTGCTCGAATCTTTTGAGCTTCAGCATCAGGGAGGATCTCGAAGGCGCCGTTGTCGGTTTGGACTTTCCATCCAGTTTCGGCTGCTTTTCTATAGGCTTCCCGTTCATGCGGCGGGATCTCTCTCCATTTGATCTCCCGTCGAGCTGTTTTGGCGGCATTGACCTCATGTTCTCCAGTTGGCCATAGTGTGCTGTCCACGAACTCCTGGAAGGGAGAGGCCATTTGCCCGACCAACTACCATGATCATTCACTTCCAACAACTCGGGATGTCGTTTGTCCCGTTCAACTTGCTGCTGAATGGCTTTCAACGGGTGCATCTCACCCTTGTGGATATCAGCTTCGAGGGTGTCCTCAAAGACGGACAACTGCTCATTTGGCGGCGCAACATCATCCTTGTGAGCCTTGACATACTTTCTCAACAGGTCATTCTTGGCCTGAAGGACATTCTGCGTCACCGTTGACGTGACATGAGCCTCAAAGGCTGCTCCCTCTCGAAGTGACTCTGCTTCAACTTCAGCTGAACGCTTTCTGGACATACTTTCTTCCAGCTCTCGGGCTGATTCAATGGAGGCTTCCATGCGGGCGCTGAGTGGTGGAGTTCCTGGAGACTGGCTTGCTCCAGTGATCAAGGGTGGCACCGGTGTGCCTGGTGCGGCACTGCTGGCTTGTCTTGACAGTGCTCTGGCTGCCGAAGACATAGCTGAAGCTCTTCGACTCAGACTTGAGGCCGGGAGCTCACTTCCATAATGGTGCGATCCGGTGTCAAGAGCTTGCATCAACTCACCTGGCTCAACGGGCGGCAAATCGTCGGTGAGGGGCTTTGACTCTGGAACGGCCAGTAGCGCTGGTCTAGGAGTCTTTGGTGGAGCTGACTCCGATGGAAGTGCTTGAACTGGGCCTTCATCTTCGCTCCTCTGTCGCCGGACATCGTGCAGCGCGGCATCAACACAATCTCTGATGGCATCATGCCACACATCTGCAGAAATCTGCTCCATCGACGATGCGCTTCGAAGGTTCTCACGAGCGCATTTCGACAATTGCCCTTTGAAAGACACATATCCAGCATTGTGGCCTTCTAGTGCAACCAAAAGAGCCGGGCCGTGCCATCGCTTCAGGGACAATCTCTTCTTCGAGGGAGCTGTCTTGGAATTGTATTTGGATTCTCTCCAGAAGTAAACGATGTCTCCTGGTTCAAGTTGTTGAGCCATTGTCGAACTCCTTGATCTGGACAACTCAGCTTTGCGGATGCCTTTTGAGAAGTGGAGCCTTGTCATCGCAAGTTTGGCAGCCGAGCGAGAGACGGCCTTCCATCTATCAATCCATGTTCAGCCAATCTTTGACTGAAGTTGCCCAACACATCACCAATCATTCTGGGTTGGCGACCAATGGCTGCTTGACACGGGCTGACTCCAAGTTCATTGATGACTGAATTGTAAGCCAACACACATTCTTGAACTGCAACCTTGAAATCATCCAGTCCCATCACGGACCTGCTCTTGACGCAGCATTCCAGCAATCCTTTTAGGATTCCTCCTCCTCTTTCACAAACACCATTGCACCAAGGTGCTTCAACTGGAATGTGGTGGAGCAAGATCGAGTGGCGATCGCACATTTCCTGGAATGACCACGAGATGAATTCTCTGCCTTGGTCCGCAACCGGAACTCGAGGCGGTCCAAAGATGCTCATCCAGCGCTCCTGAAACCAGCGAACGATGCTGTTGGAATCTTTGGTCTCTAAGGCTTCTGCCATCTGGAAACGACTGGTCCAGTCGATGGCATGAACCACATAGAATCTCTGCTCCAGAATGTCAGAACATTCAAAGATATCGATGTGCACCTGGTCTGACACATCTTTTGGAGTGGGCAACGACGAAGGTCTGCGAGACTTTGGCCTCTTCTTCTCATCACATAGGCTGCATCGAAGCATCTTTGCAGCCATAACTACTTCTTTGGGTGCTCCTGACAGCACAAGAGCTCTTGCCAATCTTCGATTGGATCTGTGGCCAGTGTTTTCGTGGAGCCTCTTTACAGCCAACTTGATGGACGAGGGAATGCGGGCTTCGGGAGTCACCTGATCACCATCTGATGAAATCTCGGACTCTGATTCGAATGGGTCCATCACCTGATTTGCTCCTTCATCATCTGACTGAATTTCTTCCGCTCCATCGACAGCTAGAACTTCTCGGCACTTCCCAAAATCTTCATGGAATTGCTTCTCAAGGCCTTTGACAATAGCCTTGGCCAAGGCGACTCGGTAGTGCCCTGCACGGCTTGTAATCTTTGAGCCCCCGATCACCGGTTGATGAAGGTGATCTTTGGAGCATTTCATGCCTTGAAGCTCATCTGCCACGCAGGAAGAGGATGTTGCAATCCTTGTGGACTTTCTGTGAAGAAACCCGAGGGCGCTCCTCAAATTGAAAGCACACTGGTCAAAGTCAACCGTTTCGATGTTTGGCTTCTTTGGCTTCTCTACAAACTGGACAAGCTCTGGAAGTGCCCACGCCAGGGAACCACGCGGGTTCTCCAACACTACATGTGCGCCTCTCTTCATCTGGATCTTGGCTAGGAGGAGAGCAAAATTGAGAAGGATTCTGCCTTGTTGACGTCGTTCTGGCAACGAAGCGCTAGCCGCTATCCCTGAGTCTGGTCAAAGGGGACCAGGGGCCGCAAGGGAATGCCAGTATCAAACAATAGGGTTCTTCCTTCATGACTTGTCGAATGCAAGCCTTTCTATCTTCACTCTTCAAACTAGACGACGAGTGGCCCGAAAGCATTTTTCATCACGTAGGAAGTCAGAGTGTGAGTTATCTGTTAAGTGTTCAGTGTGAAG